ACACTGCTCAACAAAATTGGTGCAGAGGTAATGCAAATCAGCAGCAGCAGAATGAAACCATAATTGCACTTGCAAAAATAGTAAAACGGTAGATGGAGCTGCCTGGGTTAACTTCTATGTTGAATGTAGCAACTGTTGTACGCAAAGTTATAGAACAAAAATGCATTTCTCTATGCCCTTGAGAAAGACAGAGCCTAGCACAGCACAAATAATTCCAACAGGACTCAGGCTAATTTTTCCACTAGAGTAACAGTGAGAGGATATGGCCTCAAATACAGGTGCCTTACAATTAACCTCACCTAGTGCCAGAGCGTAACAACTCTTTCTGACTAGAAACCTCAAGATGTTTCTTGTCTTCTTGAATGCATTTCCCTAAGCGTGTCCTCAACCCCCACACCTCCAAGTTGTCAGGGAATGTGACTGGGCAGACCTTGCTGGGAGAAATTATATCAAACACATCGAAATGTCAAGGCACACAGTACCTGTTTGGGTTTGTTTGGGGGGGGTGCGGGGGTGGGGGGTGTTAAATCTTCCCAATGTACATGTATCTGTCATGGACTGGCTGACAAGGACGCAATTCACCTACTGAGAATTCACTTCTAGACTTGTGCTTACCTTACAAAATTTGATTCTCAATCTGTTTCTCAAGTAGCCAACACTGTGGACATTCACAAAGCATTATTGCATCCTTCCATACCCTGAGGCCACCAAGGTTGTCACTCTTACTTCCACCCTATCTTGACACATGAGCATAGTTTACTGCTTTACTGGACATCAAACTCCACATAAAATTGCTAGGCTGAACTCAGAGCTAAAAGGTTAAACATCAGTCCCTAAGCGAGACATAGAAGAGACATAGACTACACATAGAAGTGAGATGCAAGGAACTGCCTTACGTATTTGCAAAGCAGAAGGGAAAAAACCCCTTAGACACAGCTGCTAACAACCATGTTTTATGCAGAACGCTGGGGGGCTACTCTATTTTTATAACTTTCATCCATAAAATAAGAAGATAAAGCTTCTAGAAAGAGAACACAATTACCCTACAATGATATAACAGTCCAAATAAATTCATCACAATCTGTATACGCAAAAGAAAAAGCATCCTAGCCTTTTTTCTATTGGCAGTAGATAATACTTTTAATAACTGCCCTATCGTCAACCTTCAGAAATGATCTCCAGAGCCATATGCAGGTTGGCAACCAGGCATAGTGCCTAACTAGTTTTTGCATCTAGTTGTACAGAAGTAGAGACATATGGAAATGAACAGCCTGGCAGAACAAGTGAAGTCTGAAGCAATGACTTCGATAAATAAATGCCTGCACACTGGCAGATGGAGAAAAGCGCAGTAGGGAGGAACTGTATTGCAGCAGCAACTTGATTTTACACGACTCATAAAAATCAGCCTGAACTTTGGAATCGAGGCATTTCCAATTCTTTCAGTTCTCTTCTTGTTGGGGAAAATTCTCACAATAAAAAGAGGGAAGATATGGGTAGAAAGATGTGTCTAACAAAAGATACCAGAAGGTACTTCAGTTCAGGGAGCAGAGAATAGGACTGGGTGGTCACTGATTGTTTTTGCCTCTTATTACATTGCTAATCACGTTTTTAGCAGCTTTCAGAAAGACACAACCAATAATTCCCAAAAGCCTAGAAAAGCAAGATGTGGAGATACATTCTCAAGCCGTATGGCAGAGCCTGAATTGTGAGCACAATGGATACAGGTAAGTGGGATAGACAGACCTCTCCTGCAGTGAATGGAAACTTGTGCTTGATGCAATAGCCACCTTCTGCATTCATTCCTCTGGAGACCAGTCTATTTGTAGGCAAATTGAATCTTTCCTATTTGCAGGCTGCAGACTGATTCCGAGTCACTGTTAAATGTGACAGATGAGTGGAAAACAAGTATTACCACTCCCCAGCTGCTAGCAGGGGACTAGCACGTTTATTCCACATTTTGGGATAATGGCACTCCTTGTCTGGGGATCTCAAAGATAATTCTTCCTACCCTGTTCTGAAACATTTTCCTGTGGACGTCCTCTAACCACAATCAACATTACAGTCTCAGAGATAGCAAGGGAAAAGGCATATCTTTATATCCCATCAGAAAGCACAATGCAATGCAGGAAATTCTGTGCAGCATTTGCATTACTCTTACACATTATGTGGTGTGGACAGCCTCATATGTCCCTACGTTTTTCCTCTCTTCACTGATAGCCTCCTATACAATAATTAAGATGTGTATCCTTATGCATAGATACAACCTGATGGGGAAGATTTTCGACACACAACTGTCATTCAACGTATCCAAAAACAAGAAAAAAATAAAGAGTTAAAGGTACATTCTAGTTCTTTGGTGTCTACTTCCGCAACAGGATTGCACCATACTGACATGGTATGCAAGTATTCAGTACCTGTGGTGACCTTCTCAACTACAACAAGCCATCTCCCTACTAAATACCACTGACATGCATGCAAAAGTAGCAAAATGCAGAACTCCCTGTCAGACACGTACTGATTCTCTTCATGCCCAGTACCAACCACTGCAGTCAATATATAAGAAGGGAAAGAGGCACATGAAGTAACCAAGGAGAAAACAATCCAGACAAACTGTGATGGCCCAGAGTTAACAGGTCAGCCTTATGTACCAATTACTGCGCTTTTTCAATAAAACAGTTACTTGCTGCTGTCCCCAACCTGTAGCCAAGTGGACGAGCTTCATGCCAAAACGTGAGGCCATGGCAAAATTAACCTTAAGATTATTGTGATGCAGAAGAAGAATTTAACTAAACTTTAAGAAACTAACTAAATTTCACTAAACTTGCCCTCAATAACAGGCCACCTTTTGTTACAAAGAAACTCCCTTTCTCTTCCTGACACTTCATCAGTTAATATTACGCGTATGATCTCATTTCTTTGCACTGCTTGGTTACCCACCATCTCAGAACTCAAATATCTGTAATACCTCATCTTCTCCTCCCACATCACACAGTGATCAAGAAAACCGGCAGGCAATGATTTTCAAATGACTGTACCTAAATCCAATCCCCACATTATGCTGAAACCATCTACAATGGAAATCAGTTTAAAACCCATTTCACTTTGGTAAGAATCACCATGGGAAGACCATGACCTGCCTTCCACAGACCCTCCCAGAGATCTGTGAGCTCTGTAAGCCTCTCATATGGAGCAGGCTATTTGCTTCACTAAATCAGCTGCCCACGTAAAGTCCGTAGCAAAGCAAGTACAGCTTGTCCATTAGCAAGCACATCAGTCCAATGAGTCAATGGCCACATGCATGCACAAACTGAAAATAAAGGTGGATTATCTTTTCACGTATGCCACTATGTAAATGTTTTGTAATAAATAATAACAGCCACTATCAATCAAGAGAGTGGAGAACAGATGGGAAGGAGGTTGTGTTGAGAGAAAGGACTCAAACGGGAACATGTATTTTCTCCCCCATCTTCCTCGGTCTGATAACAGCCCTAAATAAATCCTTGCAAATCTCCAGATACAGGCGATCCTCATCGGTGCTTTCCAACACTCTGTGCAACTCTGGCTGCTTTACCACCACAGTATAGCAGAATCACCCACATCAGAATGTGGGTTTGGGATTCCCCCCGCCCCTTCTATGGGTCAACCGCTCTACCCAGCATTATGGTCATTTCACCTACTGTCACCTTCAGGCAGGTTTGACAACAGATCTGATCCTGGTAAGGATGATGAACCTCAAACTCCTCCCTCTCCTTGAAGAAAATCTGAGGGCTAGCTGAATTTCTCAGGTTTCCTACTTTTGTAAGAAAGTATTTTGTATTTAAGTTTTTAAAAGAAGGGGATCTTTACACAATGGGTGCTCTTTGGTCCAGCAAAACAATTGCTGTCTCCAGGTTTCTCTCCAGTGCTAGAAATTTAACATTACAACTTGAATTAAGATTTCGTAATACACGTTGTAGCAAATTCACTTAAGGCTGAAGATTTAATATAAGAGGGCACACATTTGTATATAACAAGCATCTTCACGAAAATAATCTAAAACTTTAAATAACTTCTAAATAACTATAAATATAAAGCCGGCTCCAGATTCTCATTTGTAGTAACATCATTGTACACAATTCTGGTTGCAAAAGCCTTTAAAATGGATAAAAACTATGGTCCCCTACACTCCCGGATCTTGTTACTCTTTGGAATTGATTATCAATAACTTGGTCTTAGTACAACACTGTATACCTAAACATATTTAAAACACAGGTAAAACATTGTGCAAGGATTACATTAGGGCTGCATGCATGACCTATACTCTGTTCCACCTCAGCTGAAGTACAGACTGTATCTGAACGATAATGGCTTCACTCATGCTCCTAAAACCCCACAGGAAGGCAGAAAACACCACGGCAAGCAAAGAAGGATCCAGCCCTTGAGATTTCCCATTCTGCAGAGACGAGCAATATTACCCTCCAGCCTCAGCTGTTGTGATCGGTCTTAAAAACAGCAGAACCACTGTGGTTCCCAAAGGAGTGACATGAAGTGAATATTTATCTTCTTGGCAGTGTGGGGGCAGACAATTGAGGACATTATCAGAATTTAACTGGCAATGCAGATTCAGAAAGGTTGAAAACTACAATCAGGTTAAATCAGTATCTATGAATAGTGAACAGTAGAAGAGGCTGAAAAATCATTCTGCGCTCAGCCCCAGATGTCACATGGGGATTCTTCCCTCACTTTTTTCCCCCAAAAGACCCCCCCATTAACACCGAGTTGGAAAGACAGTCAAGAAAAACACTTTGGCTTACATAGTAACAAGTAATCAATAATACTGTAAGCAGCCAAAATAGTGTGGATTTTAAGAACCACCCAACCTTCATGAAAACAAAAACACACCTAAAAAAAAAGAAAACCAAAAAACCCCAAACAACAAATTTTTTGTATCATCTTTTTGCATAGCATGTTTTTCAGTTAGTTATGAAAATGACAAAAAAAGAACAGCATGAACTACATACCTTAGCTATTTGGACACACCAGTTTAGCAGAAGCTGGGAGCCAATATTATCCTTATGTTCATGAACATAATCCAACAGGCAGCCATGAGGCATCAGCTGAGTGACCAGCTGAATAGTCGGGCTCAAGCAGACACCCAGGAGTCTCACCAGGTGCGGGTGGTCCATGCTGGCCATGATGAGAGCCTCCTGTAACAACAAAAGTGACTCAGTTACTCCAGTGTGCTTAAAGACCCTATGCATAGACAATTCCCATTTCCCACAAAGCATCTAAAGGGGATCAGTGTCCCCTAAGTACCACGAATTCCTGTGTTGTCTATCCACTGCTAGGCAAAATCCAGTCTGATGTAAACTCTGCTTAACGTAATGAGCCCCAAGCAATGAGTCAGCCTATCTGTACTGATCCACTGAAGGCTCAGATCAGAAATTCTGAACTACCCTATACTTCCTGTCCCATTACAGCCACAGAAACAGATGTAAGTGTGACACACTTGACTTTGCTTAAAGGTCTCATTGGTCTTGTTTTACTTCCCTTAATTTTGTTTCTTTAATATATTTTCCCAATTTGTAGCCAATCCATTCGACATCAGCTTTTTTTTTTATAATGCAAGTAAACTGTGCCACTCTTGTATAGTTAGATGGCCAGTTAGGCCTCGTTTGGCAAGATATTTGATTAAGCTGTGCTAAAATGGCTTACTGGATCACAGCTTTTATGATTAGTATTTTACAGGCTTAAGCATGCAAGATTTATACATCAATTGAAGCCTTCCCGAAGTTCAACCTGCAAAGGATTAAAAAAGGAGGTTTAGCATGGGCTTTTCAAATGTGTCTGATGCTCATAAGTCCTACTGAAAATCAGATTTGTTAAGCCATTAGGATATGATCATGTTACCGTCTCTATGATTGTTGTACAGCAATAGCCTAAACTAGCCGTTGTTATGGTACAGTAGTAGCCTAGCTGCAGTACCAGTCCTGCCTGTCTTCTGATGTTGCCACAAGTAGACCACTACACAAAGCAGCAGCCTTCTAAATCTGAGTCCCTTAGCTTAGCTCCCGATTCTTCCAAAGGCCTCTACCAATAGATCTTGGGTGTGTTATTTTGTTTTTTTTTTCCATGGCTCAGCTTCCCACACAACAAACAGGAGATAATATTCCTTTCTTTCTTCTATACTTTACTCATCTTTTTAAGATCATAAGTTTTCAGAGGTTTTCAGCTAGTTAGCCAGGTTGTCCTATACCAAGGACCAGAAGGACTTAATCTTGGTTACACTAGTTGGCCCTAAACTTTGTACCACTGACCAATAGCACAGGAGCTCCTTATAAAAACCCTACATATCTGTTCTTAGAGGTAATGCTTCCATCACAAGCAACTGGCATTTGAAAAAGGCAGGGAGAAAGACTTTGTCTCTCATTCACTAAGCTGAATCCTCCATTTCAAGACCACTTCATCATGGCAATGGAACAATGAAAAGTGAGATGAAACTGCGGCTTTGTAAAGCTATTTTAGTTCCCTCTCTTTCTCAAAAAAACTATGACATCTTTCTGACAACTTAAAGAATAACAGCTGTAATAGTGCCAAAGAAAGAAAGATAGAAAAAAAGGATGAGAAAAAGTTGGCATCAGAGGAACATAGCATGCCCCGCCCCCCCCCAACTCATGAAAGTTGTGGGTTTTTTTTTTTTTTTCAAGGCAAAAAAAAAGTCCTGGCAAGTAGGCAGAGTTTGTATTAAAGGAAATTGCTCATCATAGTACAAAGAATATTTGAAACCAAATTGCAGAGTATTTGCATAATAGTTCTCTCTCTTTCTTTCCCTCTCTTTTTTTGTTAAAATGAAAAGATGAACAAGACACTAATTGTAGGGTTTCCCCCCCCCCCCCCACACAAAAAAAACTGGCCTCCGTTGCCGGTGGGGAGTATCTTTCTTCCTAAATGTATGAGAAAATATAAAATAAATAAATGAATAAATGGGCTATTTGATGGGATGATTGGAGGAGGAGCTCTGAGGAAGATTCCAATGTAACAAATTAGAAAAGGCGTCTTAATTTAAGTAGTTTTGTTCACATTCAAATTAATAGTTTTTGCTCACTCAACTGGTATATACAGGGTCTCCTCAAAACAATTTCAGCCTCTCTTCGGCTGTCACTAGAAACTGTCACTGAAGGCCACCAGAATAAATACCTGTTGACAGGTGCATTATCCAGTTTCAGAGCGCAAAATTACTCTGCCTCATTTTTTCTTTTTACCCCACTCATGTTTCTCCTGCACATGGATAACAGGATAGCACTTGTTGCCCTCTCCCTCTCTGAGTAAAGAGTTTCTCCAAGAACATGGAGCAGGAGTACTTTTCTTTTTAATGACGACTGATTAGAACATAGAAAATACATTCTCTTTGCTCACCAAGGGACTAGATGGAAAGCTTTGAAGCATGTGTTCCATTAGTCTCCAGCTACTTGCCATTTACAAGTCTATCTGAGTCCAAAGGAAAAACACTTCTGTACAATAATAAAAGCAAGCAGTGCCATTTGTCTCATTCTGATGGTACGGGAAAGCACATACTCTTCCAATAGTTTTGGGCAACAGTTCCAGAAAAAAAAAAAATATTGTTAATAAAATATTATGGACTGTTCTGTAATGAATTGATACACACAACAGAGGGCAGGGAAACCTTCATTATAGATCTAAGTCACTAATGGATACTAACTGAGCATGAATCCTGGCTTCACATAGTTATTCTCATTAGTAAAAGCATTGTTATTTTTATTGAACTAGCATCTACAGGAGAACTACATTCAGGGTTATGTCTATCTGGCACAGCACAAACGCAAAGTAAAAGAGATTGCAATTGTTCTGCTAGAGCCTAATTAGACAAAACAGACAAACAACAACAACAGAAACATTATGACTTAGTAGCATTTTAAAAATCTGTTCAGCAAATAAGGAATACGAGTCCCTATTTTGAAATCTGTTTGGACACGAAAGACCCTAGAGCTACAATCTCCATGGCACTTAGGCACCACAGCCTGGTTCCCAATTAAATTTTCTAAAACATTTACACAGGTAAGGCACCTAAACTCACAGACTTGGCTGGCTGACACTGGCATCTTTCAAAACTGGCCTCTGCAATTTCCTGTGTCTTTTGGCAGCCTTATATCTGCAGATCTTGTCTCTATACTCAGTTGGCACAATTACACAAATGATTTTAAAACTTCGCCTATTCTAATTTAATGGAGAGGGAACTGAGGCACAGAAAAGCACAACCTACTATCCACAGTCACATAGGAAGTCTAAAGCAGAAGTGGGAACTGAGCCCCAGATCACTTTATCTTTCTCTCCCGAAACAAAATCCTTCGAAGGTTGAAATAAAAAAGGGGAGGAGGGGAGAGAAATTATTAAGTTATGGTACTTTATCTTTCCCCCAGGAGTCAGAGACTTTGTAACACCATGTGCTCACACTAGCATCTGAGAAATGACAAGAGTGGTGACAGTTTTGAAAGGCTCCCATTGGACATCAGGCACCCTCCCTCATCTATCTGCAGGAGCAAGAAGTCTTATCACAACAGTAACTTGTGCCAACCCAAATCTCTTCCTGGAGTTTGTTTATGCTACTGTCACTGCTCAGGTATTAATTATCACAGCAGTACGTGGCAGCCATACACAGGACAGTTCTAAGCCAGCCAGCTTAGACACAGGTAGCAGTTGTGGAGCTCAGCTTGCTCTTACCTCTAAAATGTATTGTGCAGTCTACGGTAAGCCCTGACCAGCTGAGGCTACGGATACTACAACATCTCAAATGAGTTACTTAAAACCAAGGCTGTGTAAGCACTGCTTTGAATAGAATATACATACAGTGTTAAGGGGGGAAGGCTGCTAAAGAAACACCTTGATGCAGAAGGCAGCTAATCCTACAGGTAGCTTGACAAGGCCATTGTTGTGTCCCCCCAGCCTCATCACAGACAGAATAGCAAGTGACTTTAATTGAGCCTTCCACGTTCAACTCAGTATTACACTTCTCAGACATGCTATTTTATATAAAGAAGTCACGTCATGTTGATCTTTCCTCTCTTCTGCCTCTCTTTTTTTGAAGACTGGAGTGACACTGGCTTTCCTCCAGTGCTCAGGCACCTCACCTGTTCTCCAGGACTATCCAAAGATGATGGAGAGTGGCCCAGCAATGTCTTCCACCAGCTCCCTCAGCACTCGCGGGTGCCTCCCATCAGGACCCATGGACTTGTGGGTATCCAGTTTACTTAACTGATCTCTAACTTGTTCCTCTTCAACCAAGGGAAAGTCTTCCTTCCTCCAGACTTTCTCCGTCACCTGCAAAGTCTGGGACTCCCTAGGACTGGCCTAAGCAGTAAAGGCTGAAGCAAAGAAAGCATTCAGTAACTCCGCCTTCTCTGCATCACCTGTCACACGGCACCTGTCGCATTCAACAGCAGGCCCACATATTCCCTAATTTTCTTTTTTCCTCTGATGTACTTGAAGAAACCCTTCCTGTTGACCTTGACATCCCTTGCCAGATTTAATTTCAAGGTGGCCTTGGCTCTCCTCGTTTCATCCCTGCATACTCTGACGGCATTCTTGTACTCTTTCCAAGTGCTCAGTCTTTTCTTCCACATACTGTGAACTTCTTATTCCACCTGAGCTTTTTCAGAAGCTCCCTGCTCAACCATGCAGGTCTCCTGCTTCCCTTGCCTGATTTCTTGCTCTTCGGGATGCACTGATCCTGAGCTTGGAGGAAGCGATACTGAAATATCAACTGGCTCTCTTGAGCCCCTCTACCCTCTAGAGCCCTAACCCATGGGATTTCTCCAAGCAGTTTCTTGAAGAGATCAAAGTTAGCCCTCCTGAAGTTTAAGGTTTCAACCCTACTTGTCGTTTTGTGCATACTGCACTTAATCCTGAACTCTATCTTCTCATGACCTCTACAGCCAAGGCTACCCCCAACCTTAATGTCCACCATCAGTCCCTCTTTGTTTGTCAGTACTAAGTCCAGTAGTACACCTCTCCTTGTTGGCTCCTCCATCACCTGAGTCAAAAAGTTATCATCGATGCTCTGGAGGAACCTCCTGAACTGTACATGCCCAGCTGTGTGGCCTTCCCAGCAGACATCAGGGTGACTGAAGTCTCCCTTGAGAATCAAGGCCTGTGACTGTGAGGTGATTCTCATCTGTCTGTAGAAGGCCTC